ACCAAATTTCTGTTTGCTAAACAGAACCATAAGAACACTTAGGGTATTTCTGTTATAGCAGCACAATCTTTAATTGAATGGTATCGAAACTCACTGTGTGCTCTAGTCATCCCAGGATGGTGGAGGAGTGAGTTTCTAAAATCAGGAGTCTCTGTGTGTGTGTGGTTATGGATGCAACATAAACAAATGCATATATCCAGTCCTCATACTGCACTATGGAAATGCTAAAAATCAAAACAGGGAAACATCTAATAATTTCTTTGAGCTTACATGTTGCTTCTTAGATAATTTATACAAATGTGAAATTACCTCTTTTCACCGCTAGATAGTGCATGTCTAAATTCGGACTAAGCTTTCATTGATTTAGAAACTGATCTATGAATACATTAATATCTTGAGAACAAAAGGGGATGGGGTTATCCTTAAGCCTTCTACACCAGACCAAACTCACTGTCATTTGAGTCAATTCCGATTCACAGCGACCCTAGAGGACAGAGTAGAACTGCCCCTCTGGGTTTCTGATACTTTAAATCTTTACAGGAACAGACAGCCTCATCCTTCTGCTGAGAAGCTGTTGGTGGGTTTGAACTGCTGACTTCGTGGTTAGCAATTCAGTGTGTAGCCCACAATACCATAAGCAGCTGAGACAGGAAAACGAAATAACAGAAGAATGCTTCTGGAGAATTATGGGAGTAACTCAGAATCATCTATCATGGGAGAAGTGTGTTGGAAAGTGGAGTGTCCAGGAGTAAAGGATAGTATAAGAAAAATCTCAGACTGCACGTAAATGAAGGAATGTGGAAGACCAGTAGTTCAGATTGTAATTGAAAGGAGGTGAGAGTGCAAAATAAGATGTAGTCTAAAGTAAAAATGTGAACCCCAAATAAGTTGATTCATGATAAATTCCTGAATCTTTGGTGAAGACTCTTTAATGTTAGGCTTAGTTACACCATCCATTTGCAAAGGAAAAGGCCCCCAAACAAGCACACAAACAAAAAACCCACAAATGAGAAGATTAAATAAAGTTTCAATTCTATTTTGCACATTTATTTGTTACATCTGATAGGGATGTGCTTATTGGGGATATTAATTATCCTGGAGGACTTGTCTAATGCCAATGATTATGTAAGCTGATCAATAGTAATCTGAGTCTGTGTGCATTCTTTCTCTGACATATTTTTCTTTTGATTCTAGATGTCTGTAATTCTTCCCCATCAAGCAAACCAGCAGAATCTGTTCAGTCAAATAACTCCAGCTTCTTCCTGAATTTTGGTATGCGTGCCGTTTTCCAGTTTAAAATTTAAAAATCTACATTATTCATTTACAGTATAACAGAAATTTAACTATGATTTAAAGTTTCATGTGTAGGTTCTTATGTATATATT